GCCCACTGCGTCCTCCGGGCTCATCTGCAGACCTCCTTGCACAAGTCGCTGTGGCAGCGCTTCCGCATGGCTCACGCAGGAATGAATGAATGGCTGGGCGCTGCCTCTTGATTTATACTTCAGAAACTCGTGGGTCTGCCCTTTGCCATCGGCCCTTGGTGCTCACAGTCCCCCTGTGGTACTTGCTGGACCGGACTGGGACTGACTGGACCTTCCGCTGACTGACTGTGGACTCACCGCTATCCTACCGACGTTGTACTGCTGTTGCATTGCGGTTTAGTCCACCACTTGCCTCACCACTTGACCACTTGCCCACCTTCTAGAAGGTCTACAGCTAAGCTTCCGGAACTCACTAAGACTCCTACGCTATAGACCTACAGATGGAACCCCTGCTGCCTATGGACCTACGACAGGCCTACCAACTGCCTACGAATACACGGGTCACAGGTTCAATTCTCGGGGTCTACACAGATACTGTACATGGGTAGGGTGAGGTCTAGGGATCGAACCCTGGGTACTGCATCGCCTACTGCTAAAAGGTGAACACCGTTTCAATATTATATATGAGTCGGTGAAACTCCGACGAAACAGTTTGTCACAGCCCCTCGTTTGTTGTCCTCTTCTCTCTCTCTGCCTACGGTTTACCGGGCAGTTCTGTTTGTGACATATATGTGATATGTGAGGGCAAAAGGCAAGATACTCAGCACAGAAGGCTCCACCAACAGGAAAGCACTGACAACACCCCCCAATAACAGCGATTTCGTTAAAACGGACATTCTGTATTTTTTGAATGAAATTAAAAGCCACTTATTTGGCCCTCAAAATGTCACCGTTTTAGCTGTGTGGGGTCCCCCTTGGATGTACCTGGACTTCAGTTAAGTCCAAATGGACCCTCAGGCGATAGCAGGTGATATTTTTTGGGCCAAAGAAGTAGGTTTCAATTTCGTTAAAAAAATAAAAAATGTCCGTTTTGAAATCGCTGTTCAATGGTCTGAAAAAACTTGGAAAGCCCTCTGAGTCGGTCCACAAAGCCACAAGATTAAGTGCATAAGTACAATAGCACTGACACTGCTATTCATCCCAAACGACCCACTCACATCACCATCATCTCTATCACTCCATGGTTAGACAACCCCCTTTTTCACTTTGCTGTCAAATCCCTGGAGTGTATAGAGTGCCATAATCCCGAACTCCACAAGATCTGCATGCGACACCCTACAAGCCCCCATTTCTTCCATGTGCTCCAAAAGAGCAGCCTGTGGGAATGACACCCACAGCAGACACTCTCTGAGCCTCCTTTTCAAAGATACCGTGGCCAAAACTCGTAAAACACATTCCCATCCCAAAAAGAAAAAACTTGTGGCCACTCACAGACATTCCTTCAACAATGGAACAGCCCATGCTCTGTGTGCGTGTGTGTGTGTGTGTGTGTGTGTGTGTGTGTGTGTGTGTGTGTGTGTGTGTGTGTGTGTGGGAGAGGGGGGCAGTGTTAAACACAGCTCCACGAAGAAAGGGTGACTGTGACAGACTGTTTCATCAAACGTCCACCCACTCAGCAGGAGCAAGTTGAGCGTGGACAGATAGTCTGCCAAGGATGCATTTGACTGATGGATAATGACTCATCATCTTGCCCAAGTCAGCAATACCCTTGTAAATAGCGGTCAAACTTTACTCACACCAGCCCTGCAATCCTCTAGTTCAGACTCACAGAGAGAGAGAGAGAGAGAGAGAGAGAGAGAGAGAGAGAGAGAGAGAGAGAGAGAGAGAGAGAGA